TGAACGTTGTTCTTACCAAAAAAAGCAGTCCATTTAACCAACAAGAAATTAAAAAATATTTATGCTGGGCCACCTTTTGCCCAAAATTATTGACCAAAATTATTGACCAATTTTTAAAGAGGGAAGTCATCTCCCTTAGCAAACATGAATATCAAAAGATAGTTACTTTGATTTTGTTCACTAAGTAACTGATCACATATAATTTAAAAAGCAAATGTTAATCCTTATATCAACAAACAAAATTATGTATTTGTTATTATTTTAATTCAGAAGTACCTTTTAATAGAAGTAATGACTTGACAGTTGTTAACACAGATCTTTTCATAGAAGCGACCAAGGAATGAAAAGTTTAAAGAGATTATGGTAATACCATTTGGATTTCAAAAGAGTTTATTTTAAATTTTAAAAAAGTACTTGTATGGAATTCATTTGCTAACAATTCAAATTCAGCAACTTACTTAAATAAGATTAATTTTAACATTTAATTTAATGTTTAGAGTTTACCACAAAATTACAATGAAACTAAGATGAGGCTTTTTTTTTTCCAATCCTTCATGAATTTTCATTTATTAACTTCAGGTATAGATTACTGATGAGCAGTTATATCAACTTAATTAAACTTATCTGCATAGTGGTCAAAATTCACTCTCCTTGCAACTTTAAAATTGTAGCTTCAAGCAGCATGAAAATTAGTTTTTTTCTAGTTTTAAACCTTCATCAAATGCCTAAGGATTCAATTTATGTCTGTGGAAATTACTACTAACAATAATTTACAAAGGTACCGTAGTTTAGAGTGGGTTTTAGTATAAATAGTTTAAAGATTAATTTTAATTTTGTCAGAAAACAAAGCATAAAAACAATAAAAAGAAGTTTTATTGATCTCTTGGGTTAGGGTTAACAGATCAGATTACATGGAAAAGTCAACTGAAAAAAATATTAACCAAGATTAAATAAAAAGGTAGAAAGTGAGGTGACATTCATCATTGGATTAAATATATTCACAAGCTGAAACTACAAAATTCTACATATTTTTAAAATTCTTTTCATTTATAAATCTTTCTAATGAATCTTTTTACAATTTATTACCATAATTTACTAATCTTTTAAAACTGACATTCCTGAGTTTTACCAACAAAGTATTTTGCTCTCAAATA